CATGCAAACAATATATTTTCTTACAAGGCTTAAGACTATCCTGGAGCGTGAAGAATCCCAGCAATAGAGAAAATATCAGCCCTATAAGTGAAGAAAGGAAATCATGCTATCAAAGATCCCAAAAAATCAACATAGATAATGACTCAACTTCAGATTCACTATCAGGCTATGAGTCCACAAAATCCTCTTCTTCTTACTCTTATCATTATCACAACACTATAAAACCTACACACTCCAGAAACCATATAAGAACCTAGGGTTCGCCATTAGTTATCATTTTCTGTATGGATAGATACAAAATTAAGATCAAAAGAAAATAAGTATTGAGCAAGACACTGGATCCGAGTAGGTGATAAGTATCTCAGACGGTTACAAGAAAATAATCAAGAACATAGATGGATAAGTTCCTTAGATAGTTAGAAAAAAGAAGGATATCCCATAAAGGTTGACTCCTAATGAGAAGAGATTTCTAGCAGAGATCTTTTGGAGAACGTGAAGTATTTTAATTTTCTTTTTTCTTTTCATTTTCATATAGTGCATTTGCACATTTTTAGATATATTCCTTTTCTTTTATTTTTCCTTTTTCCTTTTGTAGTTTCTTAAATTTAGTTCCTTGGAAGATAATAAGCAATGACAACCTGCTGGCAATGATGGATAAGTTAAGAGAATCTTCACCCAAAACTTAGTTCAGAGTAAAATATTGTTCCCAAGGTTGCACTTAGAAGCTAAAGCTCTTTTGAGAATTGAAAGCCATTGATGAGTGTGTCAGTATGAGTCTTTTAGTTTAGTCATAATGCAATTGCTCTATGTATCTCTATCGGTTTTCTTAATGATTAATAAATATACAGTACTGGCCTGACCATGGGTATTAAAATAATAATAATAATAATAATACTTTTAAGAATATATTTTATTAAAAAATTTAATTTTAATATAAACAGTATATTAGATTTTGTAATAATATTTCAATAATTAAAAAATAATTTAATAAATCAAAGTAAAAATGATTAATATTTTTAAAGGTATTGTATTCTATAAAAAACATTAAATTTGTATATTCTATATTGTATATTATTTTGTAAATAAAGATTTTATAAACAATTTATCTTAATAATTTATTTATTTTTGATTAAGATTTTATAAATAAGAATTATAAAAATATAATTGTAATAATTTGTATAATAAACAAAAATCATATATTAAAATTTAAATATAAAAATTTATGTGACCAATATATAAAAGTTATATTCGTTGTAAATATTTAATATACTGTATATTAATCTGATTGTGAATCAAAACAAAAAAAAATTTTTTTTATTTATTAAAAATTGTTAAAAGTTTTATTATAGATAGAATTTATTTTAATCAATAATATACAGTATTTACTTAATAAATTAAAGTCAATTTTCATAATAAATAAAAAATTTTATAAGAAATTATAAATTAATAATGATGGTTTTAAAATTTAATTGTTTATTGATAACTTTTATATTTTATCAAGTAGATTTTTATACATTAAATAAAAATACATAAAAATTAATGCATAGTAATTTAAAATAAAAAACTATATTAATTAATAACATATTGTTTATTAAAACATTAAATTTAAAATAAGATACAAATTAAAAAAATCAAGAAAAATTTTATACAAATATTGAGATTACTGTAAATGTCAATAATAAAAGGTTAATTCATTGTGTAAATTATGTTTACTTAATAAGAAAAGAGATATAGTTAGTAAAATAAAAAGTTCAATATGTATCAACTTTTTAAGCTTAGAAAAAGTTTCGGATATTTCGAAACCCCCCTCCGTGTATTAAATTGTCTTTTATCGAGTAAATCGAGACCCCAAAAATTTTGATGATCGTAACTATTTTCAATTAATGTATCTGTACACAGTTTCTTTTATCGAGTTGACCGTAATTCTAGGGAGAATAATAAAAGTGTGAAATTTTTACACAATGGTACGCAAAGTTGCACAATATCGATAGCTAAATGATAATTCTAAAATAAAATGTTTGACCATTCATTGGATATATAATTTAACAAATGTTTATAGTCATTAGGCGTTACGTGCTTTCTATCAATAAAAAAGTTAAAATTAAAAAATCAATTAACCTTATCCATCGATGTACAGATAATCATTAAAAGAAATTTGATACACAAGCTAAAAGTCGCTGCGGAAGATCATTAAAATTAAAAAGTCGACCAGTATAAAGAAAAATGTCTTGTTTTCATTTTCTTAAATTTGCTTAAAAAGTTCCGAATAATCATATCGCTCAAAAATACTCCATGCCCTTAAGCGCAGTTCATAAGAATTTAAGCGATCATATGGATTTTGCATCCAACATTTTCGCATCACAAGTGATACATCAAGATACTTTAGTGCAACCTTCGTAACACCTTTTCTTTTCCATTTGCATTATAAAAAAGGAGATATCCTTCGGTCCACTCAGCTGAATGAACTTTCCCATAGCCACCTTTACCCATAGGATTTGCACTAACCTTGAAGTCTGAATATGAAATTCATTCAAGTACATTTTCTGCGTCTAGCTGAATTTCTTAATAAACTTGTTAAAAACTTCATTTCCACTTTTCCAATTACTGAATTCTTCTTTAAACCGAGATTAATTACATGGCTTACACCAGCAAAGAGACGTTGCCTCTAAGATTAAATTAATAATAATATAAGCAACTAAAGCACTTTTTACGAAACAAATTTAGAAAATATGCAAGTGAAAACTATAAGTCAACAATCGGCAATATTGTTAAAGCACTTTTCTTCGGAATTTGCGGAACAAATTTAGAAAATATGCAAGTAAAAACTTACAGTCTGTAAGTCGCCAATCGATAATATAGTTAAAGCACTTTTCATCGGAATCTGCGAAACAAATCTTACCCCCCCCCCCATAAGACGGCAATTGATAATATCATTACTATCGATCATTAAAACTAATTTTATTATAAACTTCTTGAGAAAACTTACCTATAAATTTAGAATGTATTGTACAATCAGTTAAATATGTTTAATAAATAAGAGAATATAGACTTATGATATGACTTGATGCTTTATTCATTAATTATCTTGCTTTTTTAGTTATCATCGTCAGTCAATGTCAGATCTTTATGGTTTTACATTTTCACTTAATGCATATCATGTGTTTTTTGTCGTTTTATTGATTAATAGTCCAGGAGGTAACCATTATATTACTGTATATAATTCGCGCGTAAACATCCTATAAATACGTCTTCTCTAACACTTCTACATCCTTTTAGGCCGTTTTTCCTCTGGTTAACAGTTCGCCCTCGGCCTCTCATAATGACCCATAAACAAACGCATACTCAAATTAACAATAATAATAATATTCTCGATAGAGAGCAAGATAACGATAATGTTTCCGATGATGAACCGAGTAACTGTTGGACACCGTCGGGTGAAATTGAAAAACTCACTACTATTTTTTACAAAGGAAATCTATTCGAGCCGTGAGATAGAAAGGCATTACTCCAATTATACCCGCGTAATAAGGATATTAAATTTATGGAAAAAGAGCTTATTAAACTCATACCGTCACTCTGCATCCATACGTCCCATTAACATCGCGGTCAAGATCCCACATGATGCCAAACCATCAGAAGGACAATGATGGCGAAAAGAACACGTGTGAATATTTGGAAGAGGCCTTGTTACCGGCTAAAGCTCGATACCTGTCATATACAAATGGACTTCAAGCACTTAAGTGCATTAAACTCAGAATGACAAATAGGAAACGTTTTTGACCACATAAAATTATCAAAAGGGAAGGTGAAAAGGCAAAACAAATTAATAACGTGCTTTCGCAAAAACATCAATCAGAAGCATTTTCTAAGTCACAATAATTCATCATACAGAGGGAATCTAGATCATATCACTACAAGTTATTACCGCGCAGTTCTTGACAGAATTGTTGAAATTTTCTAAAGTCAATAACATTAAAGTATGAGGTATTGGAGCATGACCATCAATTTACAAACAGGTAGGCCAAAATATTTTGGGTCTCCACACTTGTACACAAAGGATAAGATCCTATTTGTGAGAAAAAAAAATCCTAGTTAGTAAAACTGATGTCGATTTTATCTTCATAAACCAGTTAAACCAGTGACGATATTATAGAAATAAAAATCAAAGTAATGTTATCAAGTGGCATGATCCGAAAATTTACAAAAGATGACTTTATTTCCTATCCAGAGTTTTTCTTGTACCAAAGAAATTCAGAGAACTTGACCAATAATAGATCTCCGGTAACTGATTATAGTAGATCTAAAAGATACTTTCTATTGTATTCTACTATATTATAATACACAAAAATATTTTATTTTCAATTTCAAGGCATGACAGTACCATTTCAAGTGTTTACAGTATTATTTGACTGTCGTCAAGTCCAAAAATATTTATCAAAGTACTCGGTTCATAATACAACTAGTACAAATGCAAGAAATCAAATT